AGCCCCAGCAGCAGAGCTGCAGTGGATTCAGCAGTTATTTCCTCTGCATTTGTCAGAGTCTTTAAGAATGAGGTGCTCAACTTACCTGGGTGTAAATGGTGGAGTTCAGAAGGATTTTGATTTTAAACAGTGGCTTTGCTCCATCCACCCACCTTGCATCCACACTGGACTGCTGTGAACAGACAACACCGGGGCATTTGGTTTCAGATTGCTGTGGGAAAGTGGTTTCATGCACAGATGTGTGATCAGAAGACATTGCGTGGGGTGGAGGAATAGGACACCCTCCAGTGCAAACACCAGTGATGCAGCTGTAGCTACACACCAAGTGTTGCACATATGTCCACCCAGTCTAGACGGTCTCAAAAACAGTTTAGGCAGCCCTCGTAAGCATGGAAAGCAGAATAGAAGCATTCTGGCTCCCACCCCAATAACTGGAAGCTTCAAGGGTTTCACTGCAGTAGGAATCTTCCCAATCATGCTTCCCTGAACAGGTAACTGTGCTAAAAACATGCAGAAAACAAACACAAGTCCAGAATTTACAGATCAAAAGCTCAGCCACTCTCTTTCTGTTATGTTTAAGCCCCAAAATGAGCTTCCTACCCTTCGTGACTCTGTGTCTCCGAGGCCCAAGTAGCCAGGTGGAAGGTTGGATGAAACAGGCAAATGCTGCTCCAAGGTGATAATCCGTCCATCCTTCAGCAATGGGACCCAGGCGAATCCCACTGTGGAGGCAATCAGTGGTCCATAATTAGTACCCTCAAGTGATGTATGTTTGTCTCAACCTTCAGGAAGAGTTGTGTCTCACTCTGAGGAGGTCCAACCCACAGCAGCGCAAGTGGCTTCAACTAGGCTGGGATCGATCCTGTCAGCCTCGTTAAAGCACATTTCACCCGAGGACTTAGCGTTTGAAACCAGACACGGCACAACCATGATCTCAACAGCTCAGAAGTGGGTTTCAGGGACAGAAAAGGTGCATAAGGCTCATTAGGATGAGGGTTGCTCAGTTGCCTGAGGACTGGCTGCAAGGAGTCCCATCCAACCTGACTTGGGTGAGCTCAGTCACCTAAACCATGTTCAATGAAGGCAAGATCGGCCCCTCGGGCCCTGATCTTGTGCCAAGCTTTTGTTGGTGACTTGACTCACAAGAGGACTCATTGCTCTTTGATGAAAACCAAGTCAAGACACAGAAACAGCTGTCACGGTACAGCAAAAAAAAAAAAAAAAAAGCTTTAGTATACGCTGAAAGCTGTATACTGTGTTTTAATCCAGTTTAGATTCATCATTTGTATTAGGTCATTTGAAAAAAAAGAAAATTCAAAAAGCTAGTATTTTCATCAAATATTTTTTTCACGTCCCTACATTTATTCCATTTTGGACTCCTACATTCCAATAGAAGCAATTTAAGCAGTGAACATACCTTGAGTTTCGACGGTGTCTTGTTTTTTCGATGTTGTCTTTGTATTAATTTCACAGCTGACATGATAGAAGGTGAAAAGCAAATGATGCTTTTGATGGAGGTGAATTGGAAGCTCAATTTTAATCTAAAATGATATCATGATAGATAAGACTGTATTTTTAACTGTGGAGTAATACTTTAAGTTCCATTTTTATTTCACAAAAGTTATGCTGTACTCAGTTACACAAGACATGTTTCTACCCATCTTAGATAACTCTTGGCTAACATTTCCATCGCATTTGCACATTACTTATTAATGGGGGTGTGTGATTGGAGTGCACAAAGCGTGACAATAAAGACAGCAGAAAACAAACTGGCATTAAGAATTGAGAAAGTCAAAAGGGCTTTGTTGAGCCCTTCTACTGAGACAAAAGCCTGGTGTTTATTTTTGCCCAGCCCTGGAAAAGAGGTGTCCTAAAAAGCCATTTGACTTTGCAGAATCCAGGCAGGTTTGTTATTTCTCTGTTTTGATTTTACCTCATCATAAAACTCTGGACTTTGGTTGTGATGCAGCACGGCAGCATATGCATTTGTAGTCAAGAGAGGGCCTCCAGGTTTGCCATATATACACTGGAATGAAAAAGGAGAAGCTGGATTCAGGGCATCTGCCATGATGAACCACCCGATCAAATCAGAACAGTCAGCACCAAAGCTCAGTGTTTTCCTGTTGTCCTGCTCAGGACACTATAGAACTGCAAGCAAATGGCAGCCCCGAATCCCTAGAGGCAACGGGCACCCACCTTCAATGGCCTGGCATCAGCTTCGTCCGAATCCCTGAACTCAATGCACACAGCAATATTCCTTGCCTGAAATGAGGAAGGAGAATGAGCTATTGCCACAGATGAGCAGTGCCACCCTAGCCCATGCTCATCTGCCTGCAGTCGGCCTTCTGGGCTGCTCACCTTTGCAAAAACCTTCTGGTTCTCATACTTCAAATGCAAGGGGTAGACATAGAGGTGGTTTTTGTAGACAGTGAAGGGGTAACAGTATTTGGCAACTTCTGGGACGAGCTCCTCCACTTCAACTGCAATGTTCTCACAGCTCTTTTCAAATGGCTTTATAGGGATGTAAGAAGCCGTGACGCAGTCTAGAAGGGAAGGAAAACCCACATGAGCACACGGCTGACACGCTTGGTAAGTACAGCTAACGTGACAGGAAACCTGTGGGTCTGAAATTCGGTCATTGCTCCTGAGCGCTCACTTCTCTTCAGCCAGAGTCTCGTGTGTGTTGACTAGGCAGCAGGATTTGCCCTGCCCTCTTTAGAGTGGTCAAGAGTGGTCAAAAAAAAAATATCCTCTTGATCATGCAACATCTGTGGCATTAGCAATATTGAAGAAAGACGAATGTGGGGGCACTACTAGTCTCTGCTCTCCTCACCAGCAGGAAGGAGAGCAAGAAAGTTGCTTTCCTGTAGATCTGGGCAAAGCCAGAGGTCTTAGGAACTACCTATGTCTGGGCTGGGGCCACTGCTCTCCCAATCTCTCATTGGATTTGCAGCTTGACACCTCCAGGAATTTGATCTATTAAATTTTGTTTTTATAAGTGATGCAAATATGACCTGAAGGAAACATCCATCGCAAGGGAGAAAGCAGCTCAAGTGATGGCCTTCAAAAAGAACCAAAAAAAAAAAGAAGTCTACCAGAAAACTTTTCAGACAGAGGATTTGACTAGAGAATCTGTAACAGGCGCTGCCACAGTCCCAGGAGGTGGCACTGAACAGGCCACGAGTCCTTTCTTTGTCTTGGTTTCCTCATACGCAAAGCAGGGAATCACTGACCATATCTGTGAGGCCCTCTGGTGCTATAGATGAAAAATGCTACATGAGACTGCTGTAAAAATAACAGTAAAAGCAGACAGGGGTTTCCTTTAAATTTAGGATGTGCCAACCAAACTGCGAAGTTTATGCACCCCTAAAGTAAAGCTTTGGGTTTGGATCATGTCCCTTCACAGAATCCACCAGAGAGACTTAGAGGTCAGTAGTTGTCAGCAAAGAGAGCCACTCATTTCTTACTGCAGCCATAAGACCCTGCTTTTTAATGGAACTGCAACCCCATTCCATTAACACCAAAGGACCAGCACCGCCCGTACTTATTTTCAGCTCCAAGGTCCTTACTTGTGAAGTCCAGTGGGATGTCTTTGATGACAATATTTAACTGGGCTGGAATGACTTGCAGTTTTGTCTTCTCTGGTCTGCATCAGGGAGAAAGCAACAAGAGCATGAGTCTGGAAAATTAATGTGCTGAAAAGATCAGCAGGGCTTTTTGTTACTCTGAGTATTTCAGAAATTGTCATCTCATGCTTACACTCACTGTTTAAAAATGTATATTAAAATGTCTACTCAGCCACTGCATCAGTCTCTTGCACTTACTTCTTATACTCTGCTAAAAGCTTCAGCATATCTTCATTTGAAAGCTTGCTGCTGTCTTGCTTGTACAGAGGGGAGAATTTTCCTTCAGAATCCAGAGTTCCCTGTGAGTCTTTAAAAACCGGTCTGCAAAAGGAAGGGGACAGATTTCCTCCATGTTGGTAAATCAGCAGATATCTGATATTTTTGACACATTGGGATGAAGGGCACTTTTTCTGGTGAGAGGTTCACTGGCTTGTAACTGTTCTAAATACCTCCAGCTCCCACCAAGCAGCACCCAGGCCTTCGCCTGTTGCATAAAACCACATGTGGCACCGCTCATTTCAGTCCCCTTCCTCTAAGGACAAATGGTAAATTATCTTCCCTGCTGCTCATCCCCATATAGGCCAAGATAAAGGCAGCAGGTATCTGTGTATGGCTGTGCACTGGCTCTCCAGAATGAATTGCCTGGAAAACATTCCAGGAAAGCAGCGCTCAGTGAAGACAAGTCTGAGGATGGGCATCAGCTTCCTCCTGAGCCCAAAGCAGGATACTGCACTGCTCTTTGCATGAACCCTGGCTTCTTGGCCCTGGAATATAAAGGCAGCAGGTGTCTGTGTATTGCTGTGCACTGGCTCTCCAGAATGAATTGAGGAAGTGCATCCCCGAAACACGCTCCCGAGACAGAGCAGCAAATGCCACAGGAAAAGGCAGCTCGGGAATACAAGGGTGAGCAGTACACCCTGAAATCACAACCCCATGCAACAGTCATCTGGTGCCCCGATGTCACCACAGTTCCTATCAAACAGCAATGCAAAAACAGGAGGCAGCAACAGAGCGATGAACTTGCCTGCAGCACCATCTCTATTAGGACAGATGTACTCTCACTGTGACTGATCACATAACAGGGAGGCAATGGCAACACCACCTCCCAAGAGCATTAATTAAAGGAGAGAGAAAGATGGGAGAGCTGGTGGCTGCAGCTGGACCAGGAGCTCCTCTGCTCTTATCCCACCCCCAGCAATGGTTGGTGCCAGGAGGGCATTTCTGCACCAATTGCCATAGTAGAAAGGGAGATTGTAACTTGTCCCCAAGAATGTTCTGCCCTAATACCAGTA